AGGTGGTTGCTTGACTGGAAGGGGATGGCGTCTTGCTGATTTCTAAGTAATATGTTTACGCATGCTTAAAGATGCATTACTTGGGTGAGGGTTCAAGTGACAAGTGACAAACATGCTGCGCTAAGGGGTTGGTTGCGAAGTGTTTGCATCGCGGTGCTGAGGTTCGTTTGGCAGAGCAATGGCATGCGCTACTTCCAGCAGCACCAATGGAGTTGATTATGAACAATCGCTTGCCGCCTGGGTGCCGACTTGTGAACTTGCACTCGGAAATTAGCACCCCTGGATCTGAGGAACACGGTCATGAACATGTTTTTATCAACAATGTGTTTGGTTGACTTGTTTTCTTCGCTGGTGTTCCAACGGCAAATTTGCAGGAAATCAGCCACAATTACAACTGGCTTCAGCCTGTTTGCGCAGAAAACCCAGAAAAAGTTTCTTGGTATTTCATTTTGAAAAGAAAGATGTTGAAACGACAGGGTTCAGAACATGTTCTGTGGAGAGCGGGTAGTTGCTGTAGTGTTTGTTGTATAGAGCGGTTGTTCCCATTGGGCTCATTCAGGGTTTCCGCCCAGTTCCACTTAGGTCCCCAGTGGGTTTTATTTGGCTGACGCGTTTTTGGCGTTGGACGCGAAGATGCGCAAGCATCTTCTGATACCACTTGATGGCCAGTCCAAAGCAGAGAAAGCCATGGAAGAGGGGAAACGTGTGAAGAAACTGGTTGGATCCCTCCGTCATCTTTTCAGAAACAGTACCTTGGGTTTGTTTGGACAAGTGGTTCAAAAGTGAAAAGGGTTTGCAGTCGCTCTTAAATCTTTATTCATCATCTTCTTTAAATGTTTGGATTTGAGGTCCCCTGAGCAGCCCTGATGAGAACGTAGATGCCCTGAAGAAGTTGCTCAGAAGATCCCCAGATCGACGTCGTCATAGGGACTGATTCATCATGGGTTTGGATTTGACAAGGTGTTGAAAACGATGCTGTAGTGTTGAGTTTTAGTTGTTCCAAAATTGAGTTTGAAATCTGTTTCAAACCTGTTTGACCGCGCCTGCCTGCAGGACTATCACTTTGTCGCTGAGTTTGAGAACCCTGACCCTTCTGAAGGTGAGGAAGCTCATGAGGATGAGGTCGGTGGGGATTTGGCCCTTGGTGATGAGGAGGGGGATTCTAGGGAAGACCCTTCGTCCAGCAGCACGGCTGAGAGTGAGGATGGTGGGGACAGTGGGGGATCCGAGGCTGGTTGTGAGTCTGATTCTTCAGAGTCAGATTCTGGAGAGTCAGACTCTGGAGAGTCTGGGGATGGGGATGTGGTGTCTGTGCCATTGGCGAGCCCCCCTCTTGCTACCTTTGAAGAATTTCCCACGCCGAAGGAAGAGAATCCCGTTGACCCGAAGTTGAAAAAATTCTGGGCAAAGTTTGTTGTGCCGAAGTTCAGTGGAGGGAAGAAATCAGAAACCTGTGCCCAAAGTGATTCCGCACATGAGTCATCTGATGAGTCTGGGGATGAGGTCTGTCCTAACAAGGAATGGGTAAATGACATGGATGATCCCATGGATTACGATGCCATCACAGATTTGCCAAAAACACTGAGCCCTGGTTGGTCACCTGAGTCACCTGTTTCCTCCAATCCCCATGCAGCATCTTCCGCCGGCCCTGCTCCGGTGAGTGAGTTTGATGATGGTGAATGTGAAGTTGGGTTGGAGGACCCGCCCAGCAGCAGCGATTCTGAAAGTGATCCCAGTGACTTGAGCTCGTGTGGAGATCCGGTGGTTGATGAAAACATGTTTACGGCCGAGATGGAGAAGGGAAACCGTGAGATGCATGATGAGGCGAGGTAGGCACAAGGTGATTCCCCAAACAATGTGTCCACACTGAGGGGTTCTTACGGTGGCTGTAAAGGCCAGTGCTTGATTAAGGTGCTGACTCTGGGCGCGAGCCTTTTTCCTGTAAATTTCCGTACAAAGTGGCTCTTGTGAAAATTTGAGCTGCAGTTCGACTGCGCAGGCTCGCACAAAGTGTGGTTCTAGGTTCGTGACCGCCGCATTTTGCCTGTAATTTTGCGTAGAAAGTGCCTCTTGTGAATTGTTGAACTGCCTTTCAGCTAGGCAGGCTCGCACAAAGTATGGTCCTAGCTTCTGGGCCCGTGCACTTTTCCTACACCTCATCATCCTCAACATCATCATCCTCCACCTCATCTTCCGCAACATCATCCTCCTCCACCTCATCTTCCGGAAAATAACCACCCTTTTCACCATCATCATCATCGTCATCATCATCATCATCACCATCACCATCACCATCACCATCATCACCATCATCATCATCACCATCATCATCATCATCATCGCAGCGGCGGCAGCGGCAGCAGCGGCAGCAGCGGCGGCAGTGGCGGCAGCGGCAGCGGCGGCGGCGGCAGCAGCGGCAGCGGCAGCAACGGCAGCAGCGGCAGCAGCGGCAGCAGCGGCAGCGGCATCATCATCATCATCATCATAATCATCACCATCATCATCATCACCATCATCATCACCATCATCATCATCAGCATCATCATCTTCATCACCATCATCATCATCACCATCATCATCACCATCATCATCGTCAACAACCATATAATACATTATCCTCCCACTCCCCCCACAACACTGCTTGGGGTCTTTTGAAGGGATAATCAATTATTCTTTGAGTTTTGCGATGTCAGTCGTGTCCTCTCCACACTCATTTCCTGTTTGCCTGTTTTTTTTTCATTTAATTTTTTTTCCCTCGGTCATTGTTTTTGGAGGCTTGCCGTGCGTTCACTTCTGGGCGTGATTCCGTGGCCTTGGCAACCCCTAGTGTTAGCCGACCAGAGTTCTGGGGATTCCCTATGGTGGAGACTCCTCCCAAGACTGATGTTTCTTGGATTTAAAACAGTCAAAACAAGTGGCATTCAATCTGACTCAGTTTCTTTTCGTTGCGTTCAAACTTTACCACTATGTTCGCAGCAGGGTCTTGGTTGTTTATGGATATGCATCTTTATTTCCCAGCTCCGTTTGTCCAGGACCCGGCAAAGAAAGTTCGAAAGCTGAAGAAGAGGAACCAGAAATCCAAGGCAAAGAAGGGTTCGGGGAAGAAGGCAAAGAAAGCGAGCTTTCGCAAGGGTGGTTCTAAGAAGGGTGTGTTGAAGTCCCGCAAGGGAAAGAAACCTACTTCTGGGAATGGGGCCACTTACAATGGCTATGATCTCACCGCCGTGCCACGTGAAGCGTGGCCATGCTTGGATAAGCCCAACAGGGGCCAAAAAAGCTACACGCTGAATTTTGGCGGCGGCGTAGTGGAAGTTCTTGTAGCCAAGCAGGCGTACTTCATTAAGAAAGTTGCTGCTGGCTTTCCTGGTCCTTCTGGCCAGGTGTCTTGGTCGAAGTACGACGGCCCAATCCGGGCCTGGCAGATCGTTAAGGAACGATCAGGTATCAAGCGTTGGGGGTAGGTGTTTCCAGGAAGTTTTTGAATGGGTCCCTTGGTTTTTTGCATGTACAAAGCTGTTTGCAAAAACTTCTGACTGTCATGGTGCGACCTGGATGATGGCTTCCTGACCGCCTACACAATATGTGTCATTGTTGCCTCAGTGATGCAGCTTGGAGTGGTTTGGCCACTGCTCATACGGAGTGATGCCTCCCGGAGTTTGGCTGTCATGGGGTTTGCGGGGTGATGCAAACCTAGCTCACGTAGCGTGGCTGCTTGCCGGGCGGAAATTTATTCAATTATGGTTCCCACTACCTGGCCCTTTTGATGAAAAACAATAGCGACTTGTAAGCTAGTACTTGCTTTGTGTTGGTGGTGGGCGGCCCTGAATGAGGAGTGTTTGATAAATTCATATACTCTAAAAGCAACCTGGTTTGATTTTTTTTGTAGCGCGGCGACTGGTCAGCGAGCTAGCAGCAATGCATCTTGAGGGTTGGAACACCAAAGCTGAGTTTGGTGAGAAATGGAGCAGCATTACTTCAATTGCACATCTCTGTGAGGCAAAAGCGCGTCTTTAGTGCGCATTATTTCTGTGCTGGCAGAGCTTGGGATGTGAGTCGTCGTTTGGTTCAATCCAAGTGCACATGGCTGTGAGCTCGACTACCATGTGCGCATATAAGCTTTTGGTTGTCTTCGTTAGACATGGGCGTACTACAAACTAGCTATATAGTTAATTTATTGGGTAATCAGATTCACCGGATCGATCCTTCTTTGATGCTCTTTGATGCAAGCCAAAGCTCTCTGAATCAAAGCTTGAGCTTCTGGCTCCAAGTCAAGATTGTCTAAAGCGTGCAATTTGCAAGACAGAAAACAAGTCTTTTGTCCGTTTCACCCACTGGAAAATATTATGGATATGCTCCCACAGGAAAATAAATATCATGGATTTGCATGTGATCTCAAGGCTTCTCGGATGCACCAACTGTTGACGCATTGCTTTCACAGTTTCCAAATGTCGTTTCTAAACATGGCCGTTAACAATCTTAGAATGTTGAGTGTAGCCACTTCGCGCCCTGGTCCATGGGGATTCTGACCAGAGGCCTGATGATTCTATGATTCTTTCCGGGTCCCAGTCACTCTGCTTCGGTCTGTCCTATATCCTTGCCGGTCCTTGCCAGCAGGTCGGTTGGCTACCTTGGCAAGTGTGAAGGTGCAGCCAAGGGGTGTTGGCAAGGTTAGGGTTGCATGATGGCGATGGCACACCACCAAGAAGCTGACCTAACAGCTTTCGACCGAAGAAATGCATGCTTGCTCGACTTGAACCATCTAGGATCTTTCCAAATACTAGCTCCAACAAACAATCAAAACGCAGTTGTTTCAGAGTTGTGCTGTATTATTGCAACCGGGAAATATTTCCAGGCTCAGAGTCACCAGAGATCTCGGTTGCAAGAACTAGGATTGATAGGTGTTCCAACCTGCCACCATGGGGAAGCAGCAAACTTCTCAGCGTCGCACCAAGAAATCAGTGATGAAGGCGCCCAAGGATTTCACAGATCCTGCAGCAGCGCCCAAGGGGCATGCAGCAAAACAGCGGAAGTGGACAATGCTGGGCTTGCATCGCCTGAGAGCCCCCAAAGTCTTTGGGCTGAATTTTAAGTTTATGACTCGTATACAGATCTTGTGGGCCGCAAGCGATCTGGAATCTTTCATTTCATTTTGGGTGACTTGGGGTGTACAAACACATCATCATCTTTGAAACATTCCCAGTGTTTAGCGCCAGGTATTATCTGTTGAACGGGGTTTTAAAAATCATGTGAGTTCCAAACCTCTTTTTTGGACCATGGGACCTTGTGAAAATACCAAGTAAAAAAATGATTTGGAACCCCCACCATGTTTCAAATCACCCTTCCAGGGAATTGATTGTTGCTATTGGCCATCTGTAAATGGGATCAGTGCAATATGTACGCATATGCATTCTTTATATTCACATACGTGCGCTCAAAGGCTTGCGTGTGTAAATTATCTCTCTCTGTGCGCGTGTGCATGAAACTGCTTTTACACACACACACGCATATATATATATAGTATATGTACATTCTCTCAAACCCAAATATGTATGACCCAGTTTACAAGCACAAGAACATGATAAAACAAAGCCGTACACGCTGGAAATGCATTTCGATGCCTTCAGTAAAACACATGATGACATATCATATAAGGTTGCAAATGTCTTATCTTGTATACCGGGTTGTTTCCTTCTAGTATTGAAAACAAGTTGCCGATGATTTATTTTATTGTAACGATTTTAAAGCACAAGTATGTTGTTTTACACATGGAGATGTATAGTGTAGATAGCAAAAATGTGGTCATATATATATACAACATATGGGTGCTTGGGGGGGTCGAAAACAGAGTGCATACTTACTTCTTGAGACTTGCACATGTCCACAAGTTGCACATATAACGGAGCAAGGTGAACATATTTATCCAAAAACATGCAGCGTATCCCGTGGATCAAGTATCCGTGATCCATTTGCATATAAGCATATTATGATTAAATATGCCCATGTGTTTATACAAACGATCAGATTGAAGTATGTCAGGTTGTGACAAGGTATTTGCGTGGGTGTTGCATCCATTCCAAGTAAGATGCCACGTCTACCTGCAAACTGTCCGGTTGAAAAAATGGGTCCTAGACATCTATTTTCTTGGCAATGCCTTGGGATTTTTTTGAACGATTGGAATCACTTGAAAAAATGATAAGTCATGACTGCAAGGGGGCTGTCATTGATTTCAACATGCTAGACCACACCTGCACCCAGTCCCCAGGTATTGGCCATCCTGGCTGCGATGGTTTTCTCTTTGCCGCTGTCCTTCAAACCTTTGGACCATGTGGAGCTCTTTAGTGGGAAGATGGCAGTCACAGTTGCGGAGATGCAGGACTTGGGTTACAGCAGTATTGCAATCAGGTTGGTTATATATAGTTACATATCGCTTAATTTAACAAACGTAGTTCCCCACTGACAACCAAAGCAGTAAGGGCATCCATTTCAGGACCAGCTGTTGCCATCAAAAAAGTAAGGGGAAACCAAAAGGTTCTTGAGACTTCCACCGCAACTCCTTCTGGTTAGGGTGTGTGTGTGTTATGGGACATCATTCTCGGTAAAAAAATGTTGAACCACAAGTCCTTTTGGTTGAGAAGTTTCTTTGGGACTTTGGGGTGCCAGAGAAAGGCTACGAAGCTAGCTAGAGCCCAAACTTTTCAAAGGTTCGGGCGGGCAATGTTTAGGAACCCCTCATCCTAAAAGTATTACTCTTGCTTGAGAATTCAGTCAGCAGCTACAGCACAGAGAAAGCCCTTGCAACAAATCGTCCCACCAGGACTTGAAATTGGTCCACACATGAAAGCTTCATCCCACTACACCAGATAAGAAGCATTTTGTCAATTCTTCAAACTTGGAGGAGGGAAGGAAGTGCGCGGCCTATGACATGGACTACGACGACAAGTACATGAACATCTTGGATCCCCAAGGTTTTGCGGTGGCGGTTTACCAAGTGCTGCGAATCAAACCGGGGGGATCCCTCACCCTCGCACCGGTGTGTGGAACGTGGGTGTGGCTGTCTCTCAGTGTCAACTTAATGGTTGCAAGTACTATATCACATCCACAGAAAACCAAAAGCAGCATGGGCATCTATTTCGGGACCAACTCTTGCCATCAAAAAAGTAAGGGGAGACCAAAAGATTCTTGAGGCTTTCACTACTGTGTTATGGGGCATCATTCTCGGTAAAAACATGTTAAACCACAAGTCCTTTTGGTTGAGAAGTTTCTTTGGGACTTGGGGTGCCAAAGAAAGGTTACGAAGCTCAGCTCAAACCCAAACTGTTCAATCGTTCCGGTGGACAGTGTTTAGAAGCCCCTCATCCTTTTTGCGAAATACGACTCAGTCGCACAGCACAGGGAAAACGTGAAAGTGGGATCTTTTGTTTGGGCAATCTTGAGGAAGCAGCATCTAGACTGGGTAGGTTTGGGGTGGATAGATAGCGGCTTTACTGGGTCCCAGCTGCAATTTCCAACTTTCTGAGGTCGCGAGGCAGCACCAAGCGTTCAGCCCAATGTCCGCTTGGAGATCCCTCGGCCTCTGCCGCAGTGGCGGGAGCCAACGTAATGGTGGCAAGATGTGTCTTGTTAATCATTCTTTGTGCCAGCAGGGGAATAAATTGGGTGCTAGAGCAGCCCCAGGGAAGCCTTTTAGAGAGGCATCCGGCCATGCAGTGGCTGTTTACACTTCTCCAAGTGTGGAGGAAATCTATCAAGATGGGTGACTTTCAAGCACCAACCCAGAAAGCCACATGGCTTTACTCAGGAGAATGCCCTACATCCAACACAAAAAATGGTATGCTTTTATTTCGGCAGCCCGGGTTTAAAACATCTTCAGTGGATGGGATGGGTTCCACCTTTGGAAAACTTTGTGGTCTTTCTAACCTTGAGGGGTTGATAAGAACGAATGTTGCATTAAAGACAAGATGGTATTTAAGGAGATTATCTGTGGTATGTCACGGTGCCAAGACAGGTTTAACATCTTTTGGTTATTTCTTGATTGACTCCCATCCATTCAAAATTAACTAACTTGTCAGTCCTGCAGGACATCGCTACATTGAGGAGATTGACAACTACAAGCCACGGCAAGGCACACGTGCCGTTGCAAGCGGCCCTATGGTGCGGCACTACCGCGACTCGAAGGGTCGACCCCGGGTGCAAGGTGCATCGGGCTTGAAGGATTCCCAGAGCTACACTCCAGCGCTACTGGACTAGTTGTAATTTTATTTCGCATATTAAAAAAAGAAGGCATGATGAAACTCTTATGGCTTGAAACCCACCAAGACAACACTGCCCCATGGTACGGGCCGACCTGGTTTGAAACATTCAAATAAGGGGTGATAAACCATGGTAGGGAATCCGCCACAATGCCGCCTCATTTTTTAAGGGTGACCGCATAATGGATTTGTCCATACTTCCCTCAGCCCAGGTTTGGCCGTGCAATGGCAAAGCTGCGCACTAGGAACCAGGCTCGGGTCCGACGAGAAGCAAAGGCTTTCCTGAAAGCTGCGGCGCAGGACGCTGATCAGACCAAGCACAAAAAATTAACCCATGGGCTTCACCAATGGGTGAAGCAGGCAGAGTTAGAGCCAGTGTTTCAATTTCTCACCTCCTAAGGGGGCCTCTTCACATGCTTTGCAAACCAACTTACGAGAATAAAATTAAACCTTGTGCTTTTCCATTCAGCACAGAGTGAAATTCAGATCCGTTTTAGGGATCGCCTGCTGCAGTAGCGAACTTGGAGCAAAGTGCCAGCTTCAAAAGGTGTGCAAGACTCTCGACAGTTTAAGTCAGGTTCTGGAAGGAACAGGTCACCCACGACATCAACCTGTACCGCTATATACCCCTATATGCCATATACCCCTATTTACTACTTTTACGGCATATATATGTACTTATACCACTATATGCCACCCATACCCCCGCACGATGTCCTTCATTCGGAAGCCGCTGCGCTGCCAGGTGAGCCATGCCACGTTTTATTCTGCGGACGGCCGGGAGGACAGGTGCAAGCCCCCCACGCCGACCGGGAATTGCATCAGTGGGACTCGATGCCATCTTTTTCTTTACAAAAATGATCATACCTCAGCCGTCGTTTGACCGTGAATTTGCCGTTATTTGTCGTGAATAGCCGTCGTTTGTAGAATTGCATGTTTGCCTATTGGTTTGGAAACTTGTCCAAAAGGATTCAAAAAATTGGATCACAGAAACAAGTCCACTTGCATAGTCTCTTTTGGCTTTTTCAGCTAGGAAACCCAAGGTGGGCATAGGCGCTGAAACACGCAGGCCCAGCCATGGGGAAAAAAGCTGTTCGTGAGGCAGTTCCGACGTCAAAAGGTGTTCAGAAGACCCATAAGGGGAAGGACCCACCCAAGACCAGGGTTTCAGGGAAAAGTAAGCCGGTTGAAAGTCCAGCTTCGTCAACTACCACGGCTACAAGTCGAAAGGGCCAACCGTTTGTCTACACCACCCCAGTTGACAAGAGGACTCCCGCGATCAAATCGCCATTTGCAGCTTCTGAGAAGCTGAGCCCTGAGTTGAATGATGCGATGAAAATGAACAAGATCAACGAGGTTAAGGCTGCCAAACAGAAAGGAGAGAAGGATGTCCACACAGGAACAGAGAAGGTTGCGAACAAGGAGAAGAAAGACAAAAAGGAAAAGAAAGATAGCAAGCACCAGAAGAAAGAGAACAAGAAAGAGAACAAGAAGGAGAAGAAAAGCGAGAAGACAAAGAAAGACAAGGCAGAGGATGAAGCAAAGGTAGAGAAGGCAGACAACAGAAAGGATCAGGAGAAGGAGAAAGCGAGAGATAGCAAGGTTTCCAAGAAGACAGACAAGAAGGTGAGAGAAGAGGATCAGAGTAAGAAAGAGCCGAAGAGTTCCCAGGCTGCCAAAGGTGGCAAGGAGAGAAAGGAAACAAGGAGCAAAGAGGAGATCAGCAAAGCAAACCCGACACAGCCTCAGCAGAGAATGAGACACATGAGCCAGACAAGGCAAGCAAGATGAAGAAGCTCTCCCGGGAAGAGAAGCGGCAGGTTTTCAGTCCTGACCTCGCAGTCATGGGCGAGGAACAGATTGACAATTTGATTGCCTCTTTGCGAGTTGAAAGAAAGGAGAATGAGAAGGTAGGCGAACCTGAGGAAGATGAGGCAGGAATTCTAAGTCAGGAGGATGGATCGGAAGGAGAAAATGATGGTAAGGAGGCTGAAGATGATGAGGACAAGGACAATGAGCAGGATGGTGAAGAAGGAAAGGAGGAGGAGGATGAGCATGATGACCAGGAAGCCGAGACAACGCAGGAGGAGCAAGGTGAGGAAGAGGAGAAGGAAGTGGATGGCAGCGTTTGCCTTGGTGATCTTGGTTCTGAGCAAGACGTGCATTCCGTCTTCGGGTCCTCCTCATCCGAAGATGAAGATGCCAGCACCCCAGCAGCTCCACCTGGCCAAGCAGTTGCAGAGGTGATCGAGAAGGCAACCCTCAAGGCAGAGGAGGAGGCTCAGAGAGCCAACAGTCCCCCAACCTCACTTAGGACAATCGTTTCCAAATTTTTCCAAAGGCAAAATATGTAGATTCAAAAATAAAGCCCAAAAGGCCAACCCATCTTGAGTTCTGGTGAAATCAATTCGTCCAAAATCCAAAAAACCCATCGATAGTTATCTTATGATGATCTTTCGCCCAAAATCCAAAAACCCATCTAAAGTTATTTTATGATGATCTTTCCGGACATGCGGGGGAACTCAAACATCCAAAATCCAAAACGGCCCCCCGACGGGCAAACACCCCCTGAATCTAGCCTATGGGTTTGGGACATCTTGTGGCATGGTCACACATCCAAAATCCCGTGTCAGGCCTTACAGGGTAAACACCACTAAAGTTTAGTGTTTGGCTTTTCTAAACAGTGTCCACTTGCCGGAAGTGGGGCCCATCTCCTCAGGTACCACCAACCGTGCTGAGTGGGCCGCGTTCAGCAGAGAAATCAAAAACAGGCAGAAATTCCCAGTCCAGCTGTCGGACCACCTGGCACGGGACAAGACCGACCTCTTTAACCTGTGGCTGCAGAACGGCCAATCTCTCAAGAAGCACCTCAACAATCTTAGTTTCCAATATACCTGGAAAGATACCCTGAAATTCTTTTTGGCAGTTGTGGGGAAAGAATGCTTTCTATTACGGGGTATAGGTCTGTTGCGCTGGTTATCTCTGGGAAATGACCCTGAATTACCACATGTCTGGGAAATAGTTTTGTTTGGGGGCTTGGGGGATTTAGATTTGGCACATTGGTTACCCATGGGAACAGAACCCCATTTACCACACTGTTGTTGGTGAGTAGAATATGTTATTCCGGTTATCTTGGAAAAGATTCCCCAATTATTACTACAGTACTCCATGGTGGGCAAATGACCTTACATTGTATCTCTTGGCCCTCGGATTACATAATGGGAACGGTAAACATGTCATTGTAGAACCCTGCCAATTGTGATTGTATGAGCCCCAGCAGCCCAGGGTCGCCGTGGTTTTGGAACGACGGGTGGAAGCTGTGAACACGGTCCGCACTGGGCGTGAAGGGAAGAAAAAGCGTGAACTTGAAGCCAAGTACCCAGCTGCTAAAGTGGAGCAGCTCACAGCCCTTTTGAAATCTCGTGGAATGTGGTATTGGGATCCCGATTTCCCAGGCGATGAAGAGGAGCATTCGTTTTTACTTACTGTTTCAATCATGGAATGAGAAAAAGCTGCACATGCTCACAATTCAAAAAGACATATTTGGACACGCAGCCCAGTTGCCCAATTAAAAAACAATGTAAAATCTGTTTTAAAGGTTGCGCTAAAATGGACATTTGGAGTGGCTGTCCGAAGTTTCAGGGGGATGCACATCCAAGTTTAGCCTATTTGGTACAACCATCTAATTACCCATCAGGAGATCTATTACTATGCTGGCACTGGCAACCAGATCAGAAGGGATGACATCACAGCAGAGGGGATGTCCCTACGTGGCACTGCCAATGCAGATGCCCCAACCCTTGAAGCTGTCGCCGGAGAAGGTGGGCCTCTGGCCAGCGGAGCTCTTCCTGCCCTCGAGACGGCCTCACCGGAGGGTATCAAAAACACTTGGCAGGCCACCAATGCAGGACCAGTTGTGAAAGTGAAGGCGCCAAAGGCACCCAAACCATCACCGGCTGAAGAACAAGTTGCCAAAACTGTTCCAGAGTAGGAGCCTCAACAATGGACCAAGCCTATTGAAAATAGAAACGCAAGCGGTGTTTTCCACAGTACGATTTGTATTCCAGACCTAACACCTGGTTCCTGTTTAGTCTAAGGTTGTGTGCCGAAGCTATGCAAAAGGCTTTGGGTGAGTCAGCGGAATCCCGGAAGTTGGCTATTTCTTTGAAGGCGGTTGAATACGGAGGCGAACTCACAGAGCAACTGCTCCAGAACAGTGGAAAGTTAGAGAAGCTCTATGAGAGCTACATCGACTTGAAGAACAGGAAGGTTACGGACAATACGTTTTACCAGACAACCTTGGATTCAGCCACTGCCCAGTTGAAGTGGTTCGAAAAAGCTAAGGCATGTGTTCGAAAACATCAAGTTCATGGTTTGGGGGTCCAGCTACACATTATAAATTTGTATTGGTTGGATCTGACAATGCATTTTTAATAATAGACCGAACCAATCCACTCCTTCTTCCTGTCTATCTTCCCTCGAGGCTGCTGCAAAGTCCCTGCTCAGTGGATTGACTCGCAAGAACAAGGCCAAGGCAAAGGCCAAGCCTGCTGCGGCAGAAAAGCAGCAGCCCAACACGGCAGCTGCCTAGAAGTTTTTGGATCCCCTTCAAAATGAAGGAAGCATTGGCAATGGGGTATTGCCTTTGGGAAAGCCATCAAACCGATCTCAGTGCAAGGTGACAAAATGGTTTCGGAAAGCTTCTTGTTGAACAGTTATTTTTGATTTGACCTGGTAAAAATCTTGAAACCTTTGACATCGCTGGGCTCACAAACATGCAGAGCAATTTCTATACCTACCCCAACTTCTCAGTCTATCGGATTTCTCTGTATATTTACACCCCATTGGATATATCTCCATAGAACTGTATCGTTGCTTCACAGTACAGATGCACATATGTATGAGTATGTGTTTACAGGTTTGTGCACTTTTTATTTTCGCCAGAAGTTGGTTAAAACGCCATCTGCACAAGAATCGGGCGCCCCACGCAGGTGAACACACGAAGCAGAAATTCCAGTACTTTGGCAAGTCGAGGCCTTGGAGCATGGTGCAATCAGCAGGATACCGGATACCTTACTCTACCGGCTAGGTTGGTGAATGGGGTCGGCCACATATGGTTATGGTAGTATGCAATAGTGTTGATGTCCCAACTATGGCAGTATGGTTGATATGGTATAGTATGCCAGCATTGGTGTCTCATTGGGAACAGCCGCTTAGGCATGGGAAGAGAAGACCCAGGTATGAGAGCTGCTCGTACAACAACGAGGCTGAAGAGTTCATTCGATTCAAAGCTGCACCCCGAAAAAATAAGCCCAATAAAACATTCAGCATTTGTCCGATGCATTCATGTGCAACAATTGGTTTTTGTGAGCCCCAAGGACTTATCGGGTCAGGAAAGACCCATATTCGCACTTGCGTATCCATAGCCCAAGCACAGTCAAAGGACGCCCAGGAAAGCGGTGTCGAGGTTCCAACGGCCATCTCGGCCTTTGCATCACTTGGCTCCTCCGGCCGGCACTGCAGTTCAGAGGAGAGGGACATGCACAGGTGGCTGGGGCAACTTCATGGAATCCAGCTCCAAACCTACCCAGTATCCATGAAGCTTGAAGTCCAAAACCTAGTCTGGCCAAAGATTGTGACCAATTTGAACACTCTTTGAAAAAATGCTGCAATTTCAGAGCAATCAGGTTTTCAACAATGTGGATGTGGAAGAAATTTCTGTACCGACACTCCTGCCACACGAAGTGCTACATGCCCTTGCTATGGCTGGCCCAGAACAGGTGAGCCTACCTATTTGAAATGTATTGTACAATGGAATTACCATCCAATAGTTTGGCATTGAGTCTTGTTGCATTGTCTTGCCAGTTCTCCAAATCTATGCTTGGGGGACGCGGTGAAGAAGCACTCCAACAGTTTTGGGATCACTGCCTACAGCTGCCGCATTGGAAAAACCACCCTGCGTTTGCTGGGGGGGAAGCACCAAAGTCCCGTCATATCCTCAGGGTTGTCTTCAGCTATATCCCTTTGTAGTCTTCCCTGCATGTGTATATACAAATTTACATATATATATATATATACATATTCAGATATGTTTACTGTACATACGACATTTTTCACCTTCCAATCCTAGGCACACTGCCGCTGACCCTTCACGTGGATGGCTGCGAGATCTATCGGAACGCAGAGTTTATAGTGTGGAGCTGGTCTAGCATGATTGCACATGCAGATGGTGATGTGTTCAACTTAGCCATGTGAAACGATATGGCTGTCCTATTTTCAACTTTTCCTGTTGCGCAATCAATTCCAGAACAGTTTCAACTTCAGGTCTTCGATGTGAAGTTTCCTTGTGTGATACTACCCTATGAGTCCATGACTCAAACCAGCGATTCTCGTTTGAATTGGGGGTTTGCATGGTACTGTTGTTATTTTTTTTGGAAATCAGCTAATCAAAAAAACTCAGGTACGGCGAGATGTGAATCGCTTGGTTGCTAGACTGATGGCATGGTCTATATCCATATGTGCTGGTGGAGTGTTTCCTCACACAGGGTTTGCTGGTGAAGCGTTCGCCCCCAAATCCTTGCGACATTCCCTGATGGGAAAAGTGATCGCCAATGGCTGGAGGCAAGGATCTCTCTGATGGGAATTCAATCGCAATGTCAAACTTGTCAGCAAGCAAACAAATTATCTTGGTAATTGTTAAGTCGATTCTGTTCGCAGGGGCGCGTACCTCTGTATGAGGTTTGACGCGAAGGCGCGTGTTGAGACGAACGAATTTGAAAAGCATTACGGGTGCACGTTTATCTGCGAGTCTTGCATGGCACAGAACCCCCTGAACAAACATGATCCAGAGATGAGTTACCAAGACTTCCGTCCAGATTCTGCGAGACACCTCACAACCATAGATGATGAAACCTACAGGAGAACTTGCAGCAATGTGTCGCCCTGGGCCGCAGTACCAGGATGGAAGCTGGAGACGTGCCTACATGATTTGATGCACGTCTTGTACTTAGGTACAGCACGTGATTTGATAGCCAGCTTACTTGCTGATTTTGTGGAATTTGGGTGCTTGGGCGATGAGAGCGAGCCACTTCACTCTCGCTTACGCAGATTCAGTATTGACATGCATCAAGCTTTTCGAGCCGAGAAGATCAATTCGTTTTGCTTGGCAAGCAAATTTTCTTTCCACAATTCATGAATTACAAATTAGATCCCGGTTGAAGTTTTTGTTACAGAATAGAATGCCCCAAGGCTGGTACAGAATGGCTTTTGGCTACCATTCGGTGCAAAAATTTGACCTTGGGTTGGGGCATGGTGCAAGGGTACCCCACCCTGGCCCGTTGTTTTGTATCCGTTTTTGGGGTTTGCTACTCTCCATTCCCGACCATTCTGTAAAGGCTGTGAAGAGGGCAAATCAATGACCATTACAAATTGGATGGGTTCAAAACGGGATGGATAATGTTCAACTATAGCCGTTGCAAACTGGACGGATTCAAAACTAGATGGATAACAGTACCACCATAGCCCGGTACAAACGGGGCGGATGGATGCAAACATCCATGGATAATGTTCAAAATCTAAAGACATCAATATCAGAATCTAGATATTGAATGCATCAAGTTCCAATGTCGCCGTCCGAACAAGTAGAGCCATTTCTGAAATTATTTTTTCGATATCATGAAATCAACACCTGTTTGGAAAAATGGCGCAATTAAATGCAACTGAATGACAACATTGTAACATTGAAGGACTGAAGGACAAAATGACAATTTTATCCGCCTTAAATCCAATAACAAAAAAAGGCTTGAACACTGAACAGCAGCTCCGAACAACAGCGGGTAAAAAGGGGAGGCGACTCGGGATTGTGGTCGGGTCGGCCCGGGGCTGTTGGAGGTTGTTGTCTAGGGATCCTTGGGGGATCTGTTGATAGACCCCCCATTCCCGACCATTCGGCGAGGGCCCAGTTCGAACGAGCGGATGCGAGCGGATGCGAGTCGAGCAAGATTCGGGTACCATTCTGTAACTAGTGGTCGGCTATAGGCTGCCATTTTGTAACAAACAATTACATTTGTGAACGTTGGGTTCTGCCATTTTATAAGAACTGCACCTTGGGCGCGCCATTCAGTACTTTCAGAATGGGGCTCCCAACCTTTCGAGCCCAACCTGAACCGGGATCAAATTATAGTTGTTTCTCGTGTGATTTTACTATGCATGTTGCGGGGCCCATCTGAGGATTTCAGTGCGAAAACTTTTCTTCACCGAGCGCAACACCCGTTTGAATGAATCGAGCTCATACCCTGAGTTGGGTACTGCATTCAAAGCAGCTCACATCAAGATGATCTTGTGGTTTATGACTAGGAAAGCCATCGAATTTGCAAACGCGACAGGTGTCCCTCATCTTAATCTAGGTCCCCATGTTGGGCTCTTGTTTGGAACGTCACTCCAAAGAATTGACAAAACGTGTTTTTAAAGCCTAGGTTCACCGACTCCAAGCCGGAGCTCTTTGCGCATGGTCCGTCACTAGCGCAATGCATGTCATGGATGTGCATGACATTTTGCTTCCAGAATATGCAGCGGCTGAGATTTGCGACCTTTTGTTGCAACACTTGTTGCATTGTCAAGGGCTGCGGCAAGAATGCCAAAATGCTGGTGTCTTAGGCTGGAAACTGCGTCCAAAACACCACGCCCTAGAGAAAATAATGAAATTTGTTGCTGCCACACGACTCAACCCGAGAGTCTTGGCGTGCTGGCAGGATGAGAGTTTTTTGGGGCGGGTGAAGAAAATTGGAACCCATTGTCATTCCGCTACCGTTTTACAGCGACTTTTTCAACGATTGATTCTAAATTTGAGTCAGCGTTGGTGGGAAACCAAGCTGCATGCAAACCATGCAGAGAACCGGGGCTGATCCTGAAAAAAGCATTGCAGCGAAGGCTTTCCATGGCAAGCCGGCAGCCGCCCCTGGGAATCATTGAGCTGAAGTATCTTACATTTTT